ATTACTTATCTGACTTACAAGATAAAATCTCTGAACTGCTACCAATCTTACTTTCAATTATTTGAAATAAGTTTCCCTTACATCAGCTTGTAAACAGGCCACTTTTTAAAATGAATAATTTCCCTTAAAAATAAATCATAGAAAACTCATTGTATTACTGCAAAAATAGCATATAAAATTTTAATTTGTTAAATTTAAAGTAATTGTACAGTACTCCTTGCATTTGAACACTTCAAAAACACATTTATGAATCTTGTACTTAAACAAGTTATTAGGAGCGAGATCATTATAAGAAGTTTCAAGTACAGTACTAGACGTTTCCCGTACAGTAGTGGTTAACTCGCATCTGATGGGTCCATTTATATTATAATGTGTACAGCACCTCGACACATTATGCTTCTGTTAACGCAAAATTAAAGTTCTTTATCCTGTAACCTAAACAGAAGATATTTAAGTGGAAAACCGTTGCAAAAGTACATGAACTGTTGGAAGAATACAAGGACTTGAGAAATGGGAAGTTAAAAAACACTGGAAGATATCCTAAACGAGAGACTTGCAGTTTTGAGCAGTTTTGAGTTGATTTGGATTCAACTGTTCTTAATCAGGTGGGAAATGAGGAGATTGAAAAAGAAATTGACGAATCAAGCAAGCTAAAGGCTGCAATACAGAAGCGAACTGTCAACATTGACCTCACAAATACAGCCAATTCTTCCAGAGATGAGGAGTTGGAAAGCTTTGCAAGCAAGCAAAAATTCGTCAAAAAAAATCAAATTGAAGTGGACAAAAAAAATTAGCTTCATATTAAGCACTCTATGCAGTTGTCTTGATATTTTGATAGTTACATGTCTGTAATGAATATAGAGTCATACCAAACCTTCAGCCTTGTGTTTCCATGTACATATTCTCGACTGTATTTATTTATTTCATTTTTTATTATTTGTTTATTTATTTTTTTATTATTATTTTTTATTATAATAAGTCTTTACAACATGATACATTAACTACATTAAGGTTCCTTTCACGGGATTCTCTATGTACATTATTGCATTACACTACTTAGAGTACTCTTCAGATACAATTGATATTTATGCTACTGACTTTGTTCTATTTACACTATGTAAAATGTGATCATGCACACATATTTAGAGGCACATCATTTACACACACACAAAAAAAGGAAACTTATTAAAAAAAAATTAACAGTTTCAGACAAAAAGGCTAAATTGTGGGTGGGATTGATGAGAGTAAGAGCTTGAAAAAAAAATCCAAAAGTACAACGTTTAGCAAAAACTGATTTTCAAAGGCTTAAGATCAGCACAAGGAGAGTAAGATATAGCTTGCAGGCAGGCTCACATATGGAGTCCACCCGCAAACTATATAGCACTCATAGTGCGCAAAGTATTTTGTCCCACTTCTGTTGAATTTATTCTGTGAATCAGTCATGATAGATATTTGTTTTTCAATTTCTAAATTATATTTCAGCTGTTGCACATATTCTCTGATAGATGGAAATATGTCCTTAAATTTACAGCAATAAATATAATACCTTGCAAGGAGCAAACAATGGCTTACTAAGATATAATCTTTCACTCCTCTAAAAACCTAAACATTCATAGATATCCAAAATTTATGAGGCTGGTATCAAATGAATTGAAACGAAAAAACAATAAACCCTTCCCTAAAAGGTTTTCGTTACTGAGTATTCCCAGAAAAGATGGATTAATGTTTCCTTGTCTGTTTTGCACAAATAGCAAAGAGCACTCTCCAAAATTCCTATTTTAGATAGAGAGGAATTCGTTGCTATACATCTGTGGAGAAATTTGAACTAGACGTCTCTTATCTTAGTACTGAGCGTACACAATCTTGGTAGTAAATAAATCGACCTCCAGCTCAAATCCTTCACCACTTCAAGGTCACAGTCCCTTACCCATGTTTCTTGACACTTTTGGGAGCTTGACCATATTTATGTTTTGCTGCCATATTTTTAGCTGTCATCTTTTTTTCACTTTCCTTTTTTACAGTGGGTCATGACATAATTGTAGATGGACAATTGGTTAGTTTTCACTTTTGTCCTAAGCTTTTGTAAAATGCTGATATTGCTTAGAGGCCAAAAGTTTAATAGCCTTTGGCTGTCAGGTGCCACCCTCTTGAAATAAAGTCTTGTGGTCATTGACACCATTATCATAACACTTGAGACAAGAATGTTTAGATTTTTAAGGAACTCTTGTTTCGGAACAAGAATACACCAGCAAGATTGTAATGAGAGCAGGCAAACTCATGGGAACTGGAATCAAGAAAGTGCTACCTTGTGCTGTTAAGAATGGAATGAAATTTCTTCGAAAGCCACCGTTTTAGGGATTTGAATGAGCTTGAGTGTAGATTACTAGCGCCAAGATTGGCATTTCAAAAGATTATGATGCCACCAAGAGGAAAACAGTTGAGATAACTGGAAATGTTGTTAATGTTGCAGCTGATGTGACAACTTCAATTTCGTTATTACCTCTGTCAGCAACTTTTACAGTTAACTTAAAGAGAAAGTTACAGTAAAAGTGAACAATAGCTCCCATGTTTGGCTATCGTAACCTGTCAGTCAACTGTCGGCCGACAAGATACTGACACGTCACCAACAGCTGGCCACCAATGTTAACCAGACTGTACGTACCAATTTTTGTGTTTACCTACTTCCTAATTTGTATTTTTTCACTAAAATAGGCTTGTTTGCTTGGTAGCAAAGAGGAAGTTTTTCAATCACCCTATAATGCATCGCGAAACCATAGTTTTACAATACTTCATGTATGTCTGATTACTCTTTCTTTTCTTGTGACAGGTCACGATCATTGCCCTTTTTGGCACATTGTGACAATTAAAATATTTAAGTATACCTTTTTTGCCATTTTATTAGATTTCATTTTATTTTATTTCTAAAAGACATCAACACGTTGGTTATTGACTTTTATTTTACTCAGTGGCTCTTAGAGGAGCTGTTTGTTTAGACTTGAACCAAGTGAACTTAGTTCAGTGGAACCATCTCTGATGTGTGGGACAACATGTGATTGAATCTGTCTCCCTGGTTTGTCTCTGGATGAAGTTTACTCCAGTTGAACTCATCAAGGTAACCTGGTAGTTTGGCTTTCATGGTCCTATTCATTGCCTTTGGCTTCCTTTTAGCTTGACTCCAGAGTCCCTCTATGGTGTTGCTGTGTGCTCAAGTATAAGTGTCAACAAAGTTTTCAGAAGGGTTGACCATCAGGTGGATGTAACCTACATCATTTAGGTTGAAGTATGGCAAGAACTTGTCAGAAATGATTACAGTGCCAGGTTCAATGAACTCACGCACTAGTCTGGTTACCAAGGTCTCTCGTTGGCGATCTGGAACACAAAAAACTAGAATTCACCCAGTACCTTGCTCTACCATTCCAAATACCCATTGGCTCTCAGAAACGTGTCCACGTTTGTACTTTCGTTTGTTGCCAAACATTGACTTGTCAATTCCTACTGTTTTCCCTCGCCACCCAGCGTGAAGTTACCGTTTAAGATCTTCATGGAGCAGATATTGCGGATTTTGTCTAGGACAGTCACGATGGTTCGAAGTGATAATCCGGTTAGCAGAGAGAGTCTTTTGCCAGATTTGCCAGTGGACCACAGATAGATGATGTACAACCATTGTGCGAGTGGAATCTTGGAGTCTTCAAAGAAAGATCCAGCCCTGACCGATCTACGCTTTCTGCAGTTATCTGCTGCACATTCCTAGACAAACCCATTGTGGAGTAATACTTGGCATCCTTAACAAAGAGCAGAGCAGTATGGCCAATGCCTTCCAGCTAGCACAATTCCCCCGCAGCACCATCTGTGATTTTGTCGCAACTGTGGAGTGAAAAATTGTTGATGTCAGGGAGCACAAACATGTCACCCATGAACACACTGGTTCAGTCAAGCA